TAAGATGTAATGTTCTGTTCCAAAATAAACATGACAATTACAGTGCTTTAGAGTTTTTAAAAATACAGCCTGTAGGCTGGGTACTCACATGGTGTTTCCCTGTGAATGCTGGTCTAACAGATCTGGTTTTACTAATTGTATACTTTTACATAAGGATGTGAGACAGTAGCATGTGAACATTGCAGAGTTTGGACTTAAGTGTCTACTTTAGCTTCAGTGAGTAAAATAAAGTGTGCTTTATTTATATAAACTGTGTGGAAATCAAAGGTGAGTGTGACACTAAACACATTTATGAGGAGTGAATCTAACACAGGGGATGAAGGTCTGCAGCCTTGTTGCCTAGATCGCTGGGGTAGGTCTTTCTTGGAGATACAATATACTAAATAACATAAATGGAGAGAATGCAATGAATTTGCTCCTAAAGATTCAAAGTTTATTAATGCATACTTTTTTTAATGCATACTATTCTTCTGGGTCATCTGTCTTTTTGGGTGTCCTCAGACAGCAGCTGGTGAGTTCTTTCAGGATCAAGAGCGAGAGCTGGCTGCGAGTGGTATACTGCAAGTGGTATCGTTTTGCTCTTCTCTTGGAGAAACAGAGCCAATGGCCTGTTTAGGGAAACTAAGTTGCTGCCTTCTGCATTTTTGAAACTTGTCATAATCTATGACATCTCTGATTCAACTAGTCCAATGAGTAGAGAGTAGTAAGTTACTTCCTGATGACTGTTCATAATCAGATACTCCCCAAAATTCAGAAGCAGGAGTGGGTTGAATGTGATTGTGCAAAGCAGGGGCTAGACTTTTTCTTTCTCTTCTTTGTGAAGGTATTTTTGTTAATACCTGTGAGTTCTGTGTTTCTTGTTGCTTTTGTGGTACAATCAAGTGCTACTGGCAGTCTTTTCTCTGTGATGCTGTGGTGCTGGTCTTGTTGCATTTTTCCCATATCTGGCTGTCATCCAGATTCTTTCTGTTCATGTGTTATCTTTCTTGTTTGTTTTTCTTCACTCAGACTTTGTTTTTGTGCTGTGATTTAGCTGCTTATCTTGCAGTATAATTCCCATCTTTCCCCACCCCCTTGTGTTTTTTGATGACAACTAGTTTTGTTTAATTTGCTTTTTACAGGGCTACATCTGAGCTGTATGTCATCACGTGAAGGATACTCCAATAGTTCATTTTTCATTTTCAAGCAAAGTGTGAATCGCACTTCAGGAGGACTCTTTATCTTTCTGAATGTCCTTGGACACCTCATTCATAGATGAAACAGCAAATGAAAGGTTACACCCCTGTTTTTTCTGTAGGGGAAATCGTTTGGATATATTAATTTAAAGTTATCATCAATTCTATATGACCTGCTTTAATGCAGATAAAATATTTTTCTTGACTGCTGTGTTTCCTTATGCAGGCCTGTCCTTTGCATGTGTGTCTGCTTCGTTCAGATTAATTTCAAGCCATTTGCTTGCTTTTTGAGGGCTTGAGGAACACTCATCTTTTCCATATCACTCTTAACTGCATAGGACCATATTCTATCTCCTTCTTTTGAGCGAAAGCAAAGTGTTTTAGTTCCTTTTTGTTCCGTTTCCCAAAAGAGCCCATGGCAGGTGTTCTGTGGTCAGATAGTGCAGGTTTATTAAGTGATAGTGTCACCGCCTTTTATTCTTGTTGGTTTTGGAGTCTCTGCTTGGTTATGGTCGTAATATTTTTATGCCTCAAAAGGTTGTTCTAAGTGAGAATACATATGTGAGAATACTCTTATATAATCCATCCTCACTTCACCTTCCCCAGTTAAATCTTGTTCTGTGGTAAAAAAATTCTTTAGGAACGTTGTTCCTTTTCTCAGGAACATTCAACGTGGTAGTGAGTTGATTGATTAATAGTCTCATAGAGATTATTTAAATTGCAAATATGAAGTTAGACAATAGTAAGTGTGCTATTACTATTTACATGCTACTAGGAAAAAATGAGATGTTCCATCTTCTTTGGAGGGGTTTATAGTTTTGTCACCTTGTTACAAGTGACCTGCGAACTTTCCTGATTGGAAATGTTACATTTGTGAATCCCTGTGCGCTTGTTTTGATTTCTTCAGATTGCTTCATTTTAGTATTTAATGCACTATTATGCATGAAGAAGGGCAACTAAGGAAACGGGTTGTAAAATGTAAAACTGGCTAGAAGAAAATTTGAGGGATTGGGAAGAAGGTGAATCATCAAAGATGGCTTATTAAACAGCTCAGAGGAAAGTTGAACAACTGAATCCCAGCGGGGTTTGTTTTTTTCTTTTTTGTGTTGTTGCCCAAGGGTCCTGTAAACTTGAGCATTCATGTCTTGTTATGTGTGAGTAAACATGTACAAAACATCCTCATCCCTTGGGGAGAATGCAGTTACAGTGTTTCTGTCAGTGCTGTCCTGATCTTTCCCTTGGTTCCATGACTCTGAAGTGCAGCAGCTTCCCACCCTGCTTGGGTGCCAGCTCTCCCCCTGCTGTGCTTTCTGTTCCATCTTGCAACATCTCTTACGAACTGTGGCCAGTTAGCATGTTACGGATTTAGAGGAGGCACAATAGTTGTACTGAGGCACGTATTTGTTAACTTGACTATGCTGCCGTTTCCTTGACTGTAGTATATTTTCACCTGGAGTTATCGTGATACGTTTTCTGGGGTTTCTGGAGTCTTTCCATGGACCGTACAGTTATTTTTCTTTTGTTCATCTTCTTTTTGCTATGAAACGCCCCGCAGTAGACATTCTTGACCTTCTAGCAACTGGGCTGATGATTTTTATGGCTCTTTTAAAGTGTTGCCAATAGATTCATAAATACAGCAATTACAAGTATTTGCTTAATAACAAATGTATTCAAAGCAGTTGACTTAGTATTGTAAGATAAAGTGTCCCTTGTACTGAAACTGTGTGTAACAGTTTCAGTGCAGATTTTGTCTCCTGTTATATGGTATGGTATCTCTTCCCTCTATAATGCATCTTATCAGCCACCCTTCCAAGGCCAGATTTGGATCTGGTTACTTTGGCTTAATTCTGGAGCATAAGGATTGCCATGCTCTAGTAGTCATAACACAATTAGCTAAAATTTAAGCTGTGGTATTGTTATTTTACTAGATGCACTTCTTATATAATCAATTTTTATATAACCATTTTTTAATATAATCAAATTTTATATAATCAATTTGACTTGATGGTTTGGTTTTAATTATTAATTCCCATTCATTTTAAGGATGTCACCTGTGTAGTAAGAATTACTGTGTGGCATATGGGCATTGTATTAAATTAAAAAAAAAAAACCAAACCTGCTGTATGTACTCACAAAAGTGCATGCATTCTGATTGTTCAGCATTTTGTCCCACTTGAACTATTTTTATGCTGTTCATTCCCCTTGCTGCACTTTTGTATGGTGTATAAAGTCTGAGCCGTGGTGATATTTGTGTTATAATTTAAGCAAATTCTAAATTAATACAATTCTTGAAACAATAAAAATGAAAAATACTTTTGAAGATATAAAGTCTGTCTTCAATTTGTCATGGAGAGAGATTTGAAATGATTGGTAAATTCTGCAGGAGCATTGTAAATATAATTATCTGGCTAGTGCTCTGAAGGGTTTAGCATTCATTATTACAGGATGAAAGCTTTGGTAGGTTGAAAATAGTCATTTGTAACCATCATTTTTTTTTCTTGTTGTAGCTCCCACCCACTCATTCACCCATGCACTTCAACCTCAGAATGATTTCCTATCCTGAGTTCATGGGAATTACGAACAAGGGTAGCTGTTGTCACAGCCATTGTCAAAGCATAAAAAAAAGAAGGAAAAAAAAAAAAAAGCATGGGGGGGGGGAAGGTTGGAGAGGGTGAAGGAACAAGGAACAGTTGTATCAATTTCTTGTGCTTCTGATCAAAAGCTTAAGGCAAATATTAAAAGTACTTAAATTCAGAATGCTGTAACTTTTTGCATGATTTCTAGCTTCTATCATGTTTCAGAATGTGTTTTTTGATGTATGACTTTCTGGTAGTTCAGCTTTAGCTTTTGTTTTAGTTTATGTTTAAACTTTCTCAACGTTAAAGTTTGTTGCACTTTACTTTTTTTATTCAGAGTATTTCAGTTACCTGGAATGAAACAGGAAAATTCTGAATGTAATTAGTGGAAGGCCCAATATTCATCAAAAGCTTCCTTGAAAACTAATTTAAACCCATTAAATTCAGGTTGCTTCAATCAGATGATTAAGGATTCATGACAACAATGCTTTGAAAAATAAAATAAAAATAACCCATAAGCATAATAGGTAACTTCAGCCTAAAATTTAGGAACTTCTTCTTGAAGAGATCTAAGAATCGGATCTGTTTGTGGCTGTGTATGATGTACGTATTGAAGTTATGTAGATCTGACTTGGGAGTGAATGACAATGTATTGTAGGGTTTAAATCACTTCTTCCTCACATTAAGGGATGGTAGGAATTTGTTTAGGCTTGGGGTAAACCTGCCTCTGGTGGTGGTCATCATCTTGTTTTAACTTTTATCAAATTTTGGACTCTGAAAGAAGAAATGGTGGGAAGCAGGTGGGGACTGAGGATATCAGGTATAGTTATGCAGGAAGTAGTTGGCTCTCTTTCTTATTGCTCTTGAGTGTGCAACTGTCTGCAGTGTTGTGTGTTACTTTGGCTGTACCATGTTCTTGCTTAGATTCTTACATTATCTGTTTTAATTGAGGCAAATGGCATGCTTCTGTTGCTACAAGGGTAATTTAATTTTTTTTTTTTTAAATGCAGTGATAACATCCTTAAACTTGAACTGTTAATATGGAGGAACATGTAAGCTATCACATACTTCCATTTTATTTATGATACAATGGTGCATATAATAGCTTCAGTTCCTGAAGTGTTGTTTTCAAAGGCAGCCATGCATCCGATGCTTACTTTGACTTGTGTTTTGTTCATATTTCTGGGCCTTTGGCCATATACTGACAGTTTTTATGGAAACTATTAGAGAAAATGATCCTTAATCTCTTTATGCTGCTGCAATACTGACTGTGAATTCTCTTCCAGGTGCCCAGATTATTGATTTGATGATGCTTGTAATAGATGTGACAAAAGGGATGCAGACGCAGTCAGCAGAGTGCTTGGTAATTGGGCAGATTGCCTGCCAGAAGATGGTGGTAGTTCTGAACAAAATAGATCTCCTTCCAGAGGGGAAGAGACAAAGCGCCATTGAGAAGATGACTAAGAAAATGCAGAAGACCTTGGAAAATACTAAGTAAGTTAACAGTAATATTAACAGCTACCTTGTAACAAAATGTTTAACAAAAATACTTCACCCACATTTCCCTTCCAACATGCTTCTAAACACACTGAGATGTCTAGCAAAGATGAGAAATGAGTGGAGAGATTACCAGAAATGCAAATGCAGTCCTGAATTTGCATCTGCAGGTATCATGTGTAGAGAAATGTTTTCCTATAATGAAGCTTTTCAGTTTAAAGGGCTGCTTGGAGTTCAGATTGGATAAAACAGAGCCAGAATATTCAGGTGAAGAACTGGGTTTTAGGTTGGTGGGGTTTTTTTTTTTGGAGGGGGGGTGGTGTTTGGGTGGTTTGTGTGTTTTGTTTTGTGGGGTTTTTTTTCTTAGTTTATGGGCTTGCAGCTTTTGTTATAATCTGCAAGTCTGTCTCTCTCCAGAGAAAAGAAGGTGTTAGGGCTTTTCTGTAACCAACGGTGGAAAATGTGATTGCCCTAACTAGGGAGAGCAGAATGATGGAAGCTTACATAATGTAATGTGGCTCTGGCTGGGATGATGTTTGTCAGTCCTGTTTAGGTAAATTAATTGAGGTACATGATCAGTGAAGTGCAGTGAGATTCATGAGTGGAAATGTGGCTGTTATGAAGTGGGAAGATACAATACAGACACAGTATTTATTTAGTGGTTACACAAACTGAAGCCCAGCTTGCTTTGCCCAGGGTCATAAGGGGACGTTGACTCCCATGTTTATAGCTATTAGGTCACATTTTGATTTGAAGAATCAAAGGAATAGGATTCAGCATACAGAGGACAGAATTTTACTGGGACCCAAAAAAGCAAAGCTTGGTTGGATATGGTGGTTCCTGTTTAGCTTATTTGTGATGGTAGGGCAATGTCCTCTTTCAACTATGCAACTGCTACAATAGTGCCTACGAAGATCTTTGTGTCTTTCCAGTTCCTCTGTTGTTCTTGGGTCCATTCATTTTGCTGGGAATGGTATAGAGGTCCCAAGAAAGTGAAATTCTGTATTGTGAACTTAGATAGAATCCCACAACTTTCAATTCTCTAGCAGCTGTTGATTTTAAGTGCAAATAAATACAGGGTGGCTTGGTTTTCTCTGTAGATTGCTGCCTCTCAGTTTAGGGGAGATAGAGAAAGGAGACACCTGCAATATCTCAAAGCATTTTGGGTCAACAATTTATAGCTGTGAGTTTGATCAAACTCACAGGTAATCCCAATGGGAGTAGCATTAAGATAAAGTTAGGAAAACTTTAGAGATAATTATCTAATGGCATTCTTATGATTTTATTTGGTTCTTTGAAAGGTTGATACGTAGAATGTGAACTAAGAAGGATTACAAGTAATAGTTATTTTCTATCTGTTTCTCATGTATGCCCAGAAGTTAATGATTTTAAGGAGAGTTTATCTTAATATACTGCTCACTTTTATTTTGTCCTTCTTTTAAAATTTGTTTATTCTTCTTGAATGGCAGTAATTGCTGCTGCAGGTGGTACTTCATTCTTGGTTTAGTCCAAGATTGTCTTGTGAATGACTGGGAAAAAGACTGTTCTAGTTGCATATTCATAAAAGGACAACAAATTTTTGTAAGGAAACTGGTGTTCAGAAATACCTTGTATGTGCACTGTTTGAATTAAATCTTCTCCTTATATCCTGGAGTACAGATGGGTCTTTATAGCATGTCTTGAAAATTAGCAGACTTTGTCAAAACTCAAGGGGAAGTGAGTTTTTGAAACAGCTGACATGCTAACTGTGAGGTCCTTACCCCCTTTTAAAATGAGGATCATAACAGCTGTGATTCTACCTGGAGAGAAATGGTCCTGTCATGTTTTAATTACCCATTTGAACTCTGGTTCCTAGAAATGCTCTTTTATTGGATGTGTCTGTGTATTGTTCTCATAACAAAAATTCAGTTTTTGCATGTGCAGTGTGTACTTTATGGTGCTTTGAAAGCACTGCTGACCTAGGCTTGATTGTAAAGTGCTTGTCCTGTTGTATCTTAGGCATGTGTTGTTTCTTGATAGCCTCTTTCCCACTTGACTTTGAATTTCAAAATGCATGTTTTTGTATTTCTAAACTACTCTTATTAGCAAAGTACATGTTGAGACCATTTGACAGCTGCCCCTGACCCCAGACACTTGGCAATGAGGTTTTTTTTCCAGGAATAGTTTACTTGTTGACTGTTATTTCTCTACACACAGAGGCACGCGTGCACGCTCAATTCCATAGCAGTAAGCAAATGTGAAGTCTGTTGCACCTATAAAGTAGGTGTTGCTATTGATGCTGGGGAAATTATTGTAGTGTTGTCAGGAGATTCCATAGAAGGTGAAAAAAATAGGTGGAGTAAAGTAACTGTCATGTATCTGAATAGTTTGACACTTTTAAATTTAACCTAATCGAAACTTGCTTGTTCCATGGATTGATGCCAAAAGTAAAAGCAAACTGTCCCTATGAATGGAACTTCTGTTTTTTCATAATTTTTTGCGCATGCCAGCTTTTATCTTTGTCCAGCAGGGTCTAAAGTCTGCTGGCAATTAATCGATATAAGTAAATTGGAGTAAGAGTTTTAGTAGGGCTGAATCATGTTTGGAATTGCCTCCAAAGGCAGTATGTGATTACTCCAGTTTGTTCTGGTATATGGGAAAGAAATAAAGTACCTGGTTCAGCATAAATTTGTATTTATTCCAGTACAGTGCTCTAAACTATTTGTAGGAAAATAAATTTCCAAAAGTTTTATGGTTAATCACAGGAATTTTCAGTGCACTTTTTTATTACTCTTTGTCCCTAGATGCCTCAGACTTATGGCATGTAAACACAGAAAATACCTTATACACTTGATTACTGTTTGGTCACTAAATGAGCTCCCTCTATAAAACTTAGCATTTTTTTCTGTATTAAGGCACTGTCTTTTTCTTCCAGTTCACTCCCTTTTTAAGATAAAATCTATGGGGGGTGGGTGTCAAGAGGATGACCACAATAATTACCTGTGGTCTGAATCTGTTGCATAAGAATCAAGTATCTATGAGAACCAATCACTTTCTTGTGTTATTGCTGATTATTATTCTATTGCTTTTATATATATATATAAAATTTTTTTACATGGTTGATCCTGACTTCTGCAAAAATGCAGTAATAATTTGAGTTATAGTCTAACCTCCCTTTCCAAAACGTAGGCAAAAGAAGCTATCAGACAATTCAAATACTAGGTTTCATTTTAGGGAGCAAAAGTTACAAATTCAGTCAGCAGACTTTAAAAAAGCTGCTGAATATTAAGGACTTGAAGAATAAAATTCATTGTAAGAGAAAAGCTAAACTGAGGTCAACTGTGGAAGTACTGCTCTTCTCTGAACCTTTGCATGTTTGAGATTGTGGGTTTCATGAACTTTGATTTCAGTAGATTTAGATCTTTCTGTCGTTTGCAGATCTTGCAGTCTGCCTGCAGACTCAGGTAGACATCATGTGCCATCTTGCATTTGGCTCCTGTTTTGAAGGGTATGACTCCTACAGCTAGGATTATAATTGCTTTAATGAAAGTTGAAAACAGTGCTAGTCTCTGGATAAAATGGCTTGAACGCAAAGCCACTGCAATAAGACTGGATAACAGACCGTTGCTTCTGAAATAAACCTGAAGTCTTACTTTTGACTGCCATAGAATTGAATCAGTAGCCAATACTGAACAGGATTGAAGATTTCATAGTGAAGTCCAGTAGAGCAGATGCTAGTAATTCAAGAAAAAATTGTCAGTTATTCACTATGGGGGAAGAGCAGATAAATCGGAATTTGAGGGAGTTTTCTTGCCTTCGTTGTCAGATGAGCCTGCAACTACTTTACATTGACATTTTTAGGAGATCTGTGGTCTAATGGTGGGAGTCTTTCTCTCTTTCAGGTTCTGTGGGTGTCCTATTGTTGCTGTTGCAGCAAAGCCCGGTGGACCAGAAGCCCCAGAGTCTGAGAATCCACTAGGTGTTTCTGAATTAATTGAGGTACCTGCTGAAGAACATAATGATAACATAAAATGTGCTCGAACTTTTCTTTAAGTCTTTTGGAGTACACTGTATTAGTATCTAGAGCTGAGGAACTCCTGCATTAATGTCGGTTCTAAGGAGCCTGATTCTTTAGGGATTCCTTCCAGTGAACAGAGAAGTTGAGGTTGCATGTCCCAAAAGTGGATCTCCTTTTTCAACTGCTAGGCTTCAATGCCTTTGAATAGCTGTGTCTTGAGAAACAGCTATCACACCTGTGGTGAAATTGGTTTTAAAGTTGTAAAGAGTTACGAGGTGTAGTGCATAAAAATAGCTTTAAAATTCTGCCAAGTCCTTGGTAGGTGTTGTTTTCTTAACTGTGGTACAATTATAAAACAGTAAAGTTGTGAAGTCAGACACTCAAAAGTTACACGTTCTCTCCTTCCTGTGTGTGTGTATTATGATCCAGTGTTTAAGTGCATGATTCTTTATTTTAAACAACCCTTACCTCATTCATTGCACAGGATGGACAGGGCTTAACTAGTGAGCAGGTAGTCTATATTTTGTTTTAATTCTCATTATTCTCTGTGTGGCCTCATGATGCCATTCAAATACTGCTCTGCATTCAGAATGATTAATTTCCTCCTGGACTTTTCTTTGGCATGCATCACTGTGGTCTTGAGCACTTGGCAAACAGTTAATTTACTTCCAAAAGACCTATAGGAAGTGTAGACGTGACTTTAATCCCTATTTAGATTGGGAAGCTGAGGCACAAAGGAGTTAAGTCCACTGAGTTTACTAATTTTGGTTGCCAAATTTAAGGAAACTAGGAACTCTTTTGGGACATGCTTGTGTTCAGATCATAGTATCTGCCAATTTTGTTTGCAATTGTGAGTGCTTAGCACTTCTGTTAAGCTTTGGGGTTTATGTTTGGACAGTCTGAGGTGTATAGTCAGTGATTACCTGTGGAAAGTTTCATTTTTAAGAGAATGACGATACATGGGAATTCTGGCATAAGCAAGCATAGAATCCGTTCTCTAGAGTGGCACCACCTGCCTTCATGATGAAACCATCTTTGTCTGTGATACTCGGCCTTGCTTACTGTGTGCTTTGCATATCTGCAAAAGTTAAAAAGCATGGCCTGGATTTACCCTGTGCCCTGAATGAGGTAGGTCCTGGGAAAAACTGTATGATTGTATAACTAACGTTATATCAGACCCATATGAACAAGAGAAGACTTTAAGCAAACTGATGCTTCACAAGTATCGTTCGTTCCAGCAATGTGGGTTTGGTGGTTTGTTGGGTTTTTTGTTGGGGGGTGGGGGGGGGAGTGGTGAGGGGGAGAGAATAAATTCTCAGGTTTTCAAAAAACTAGTTATATGATAAGTTATATGCTATGAAGCTTATACTGTGAAGGGCAGGACACTTAAAATAGCTGTTTGAGAGCTGTTTGTAGCTTGTAGTAGAGTTGTCACCCTTTCTGTGAATAGGCTTTAGGGAAAAGTAGCATCTTTGCCCTGGAGGAGTACCACTGTCATTTGCAGACAGTAGTCCTAAAACAAGGGCATCATTCTTTGCAGACTGGTCAAGGTCTGATTTGGATGCTACCAGGTTTAAAATACTTAAAATTGCTGAAGTTAGGGTGCGGCGCCAGTCATCAAAAATCTAGGGATGTTTGGCCCAGGGCAGCCTGGCTTATACAAAGGCAGGATGTTCCACATGGTGCCTGAGCACTAAATGCTGGACCTCGTCCTGGGCATGTGTGGCCTGAGATGGGCATGGGGGATGTGATGTGGTATGGCCTTAGAACAGACTTAGCAAGAACAAGGCTGCCCACAGCAATGTCTATAGAGAGCTGGAGATGAGCAAGTCGTTAGTTGTGCCTTCATCCGGTTCCAGGTAGACTTACTGGGATGTTCCTCAGGGTTAAAACCTTTGAAGGAAATACCCATGTTCCAGCTGTTTCTGTCAACTCTGAGAGCTAGTATTAAAAGAGCTGGCAAATGCTGTGTGAGCCCTGCCATTGAGCTTCAAGGTATTATGCTTGGACTTTCTCCATTGTTCTGCCATTACAACTTGGGCTTAACCTGCAGTTTCTGACCTTAAAAGCAGACATTAAAGGCAGTGCCAAGTTTATATGCTGATGCTATAACAGAGGCAGAGATTAAAAGTGATTTGAGACAGGGGTGAACCAGTTCCCCTGAAGCACTGTTGGGTACATGACTGCATTTCTATAATTAAGGTCTTCTCTCTATGATGATATATTTCAAGAAACATAGTATTTGTCAGCAAAACAGGAATCCTAAACTTGGAGAATTTCTCTAGAAAATGGTACTTACGTAGCTATTTTTCTTAGTGGTTTGATCCTCCAAGAAGTGTTAACAGAAATCTGAAGGGGAAGTTGGCTTTGAAAACTTATCCCAGTATAATAGTTTTTCTGGGAGGGAGGCAGGGATGGGCTTTTTGGGGCACCAATATCTCTATATAAAGTTCATTTTCATGAAATCCAAAAAAGCCGAAGTAGCAAAATGTACTGTAAAATTGTACTTTTGAGAGGGGCAAAAAAAAAAGGTGGGGGGGGAGGGGATGTACAGAGGGGTTTTTTTTTTTTTTCCCCCTCTCTGCTTTGCTGCAGTGTTTATTGAGTTTGGCAGCAACTTTATCACTGGTGCAGTTTTGCTAACCAAGCTAAATGTGCAGCACCAAATCTTTCTAAGGCAGAAAATCGAACTGTTCCCACTGCTAAGAGTGCGTCTCCTCTGTGGCACACAGTTAATGTGACATTGGTAAGTTCTAAGCTCCTTGGGAGATGCCTGAAATCAGTAAAACTGCAAGCTTGTTTAATCAATCATCTGCTTTCCTTCCTTTTGCTGTATGGCTGTCATGACTTTTCACCCAGGCATGGTGCTGCTTTTATCTCTTTTTTTTCAGGTCCTGAAGTCTCAGGCTTACCTGCCATCAAGAGACCCCTCAGGACACTTCCTCATGGCAGTCGACCACTGTTTCTCTATCAAGGGTCAAGGCACGGTGATGACAGGGACTATTCTTTCTGGCTGTGTTAGCCTTGGTGACAGTGTGGAGATTCCTGCCCTGAAGGTGAGTCTCTCATTTTCACTCCCCCTAAGTTTTCCTGATAGACACTCAACAAAGAAGAGAGTGTTCTCTTCCAATCTGAAATTATGCAATTATTTTCAATGTCTGTCTGGTGGGGGTGGTTTTTTGGTTCGCGTTTTTTGGTTTTTTGGTACTCTGCTCTCTGCCAGCTTTATAATAGGAGGAAACATAGAGATTTTTAAATAAGGCAGCCAGTAAAGTTGCCTGCTGAATTTTAGTTGAATGAATAGGAGAGAGGACTGACCTAGATTAGTGTGTTAAACTTTCAAATTCAGAAAAGTAAGGTGGGCATGTTTCCAAGATAGGACGTGCCCAAGGACTGAACATGATCTGAGTGAGGTTACTTTCATTTGGACATTGTGCTGCAGTGAGAAGGCTTGCAAAAGAATCTGACTGGGTAGGCTTCCTGAGATGTCTGGAAGTGAAGGAAAAGACAAGAAGAGGGCATTGAAATGCTTGATGCACATTCTTTCTGTTTGTTGGGGCTTTAATTGATGTCAGCATGTTCTGGGAGAACTACTAAGATGCAGTATGTGGCTTGCTTGCCTTTGGGCATTTTAAAGAGCCTGTAAAAAGTCAAGAGGCCTTTCAATGGCCTTTGAACTGCTTAACTGTTGTTACTGTTTTATTTCTTTAAAATATATTCATCCTTTAAAAGAAAACAAGGTAACTTTATCTTGGAACAAGTGAAGCCTATTTCACAGATGCTGATTTGTACTGCTCTGACTTTCCCTTTGTATTAATTGCCCCAAATGAGTCAAGACTTGAGAGCATTTTTGTAGCTGCCACTTGAAGTGGACCTGGCCAGTTACATTCTGAGAGTAGGCAGCTTTTGGCTGAACAAGCCTGGATAGGACCCTTTTGGTATTGTCAGTGGTATCCTCAAGTCATGTTACTATAAGGACCTTGTTCTTTCATTGAATTAACATGCTGCTTTCTCATTTTTGCCTGTATTTTGTGGGCAAGTGAAGGACTAAGTGAGGCATTCTGACTTCACCTGAAATATTTTGCTGATAGCTGGCAATTAACTTTTGGTCAGCATCTTCTGTGATACCCATGACCATCAAGTTTATATCATGTTGTCATTTGGATAAGTGATTTGCGTGATACACACCTCATCGTGTCTGCTTTCCCAGTGGAGTTCCTCACTGCATTTGGAGCATGCAGCCCATTCTGAGATCTGTGCTTGTAATTTCTGCAGGGAATATGCTTTGCTAGGACTGTAGCTCTGGTTTCAACCTCTCTTGCTTTCCCCTTGCCAGAGTTTTTTCCCTTTTCCGTTGTGTCCTGCTTGTTGTCCTGGGCCTGCCTAGGCAAGGGGTCCAAGGAGGGACAAGTAGGAGTGCAAGGCTGATGAGTGCTGAGTGATGGCTCCTGCCCAACAGGGGCCTTGCATAGCTAAGTTAGCTACTTTGCTTTTGGCATAGTGCTGGCCAAACTTACTGTCGCTTTGTGCTCTGAGAGATGGGGGTTGAGACGGAGCAGAGTAATTATTTCTTGCAAAGAAAGAATGCATAACTAGATTATATCTCTAAGTGACTGCTTAGCTCTTCATGTATAGTCCAATCATGTTTTTGAGAAATATGTTTAGGAATTACAATCTGTTCTTTGAATCTGTATAGAATATAATATTTCAGTTGGAAGGGACATACAATGATCATCTAGTCCAACTGCCTGGCCACTTCAGGGCTGACCAAAAGTTAAAGCATGTTATTAAGCCAGTTGTCCAAATGGCTTTTAAACACTGACACTCTTGGAGTATTGACCACATCTTTAAGAAGCCTGTTCCAGTGTTTGACCACCCTCCCTGTAAAGAAATGCTTCCTAATGTCAAGTCTGAAAGGGGAAGATGACAAAAATATAATGAATAACTTGCATGTTGCAAACGGGTGTTTAAGAGGACAGTAGGAAAGACTTTAAGTGGGACTTTAAAAGATGCTTTCTTCCCAAGCGACTGAGGGAGCAGTGAAGTGAAAGGCAAGTTAGCAGATAAACAGGTCGTTGACAAAGAGAAGCCAGATCACCTGGCTTTTATGGCATTAATAACTTCCCTCAAAGTTTTTGTTCTTTTCATTTGCTGTTAATGAATTAATCCTTCCACTGCCTTGTGTGAAATAGAAGATGTGTCCATACCTCTGAGCGGTAATAGTAGTGGGCAGAGTTTTGCATTTATTTTTTTGCCACTAGCAGCTTGTGAATATTCATGTTCATATTGTACAGGTATGGAAACCAAGGCACAGTGAAAGGAAGCAACTTTTGTAAGTTTGAGTTGTGTGTTGTACTTACCCCTGCTAGCATCACGCAGAGTTGGGTTAGGATACCTATAAAAGGTCAAACCTTTCTCAGGCCTACAAGGTAACGGAGGAAGCACATTTCACAACACGTTGTGGTTTATGACTCTCTCTGACCTTTTTTTGCCCTGACCCTATGGTAACTGAGATTGACAGCTGGTGCCCACTGGGCATTTAGGGACATTACAGACCAGCTGCTTTTTAAATTTGAGGAACCCTCTCACCAAATGAAGTGGCATCACCTTCCAGTTCTGCTAATGGACTTCGACGTCTTTGACCGCTTGAACCTGCACAAAGGAGGGACACAGCAATTAAAAATAAACAGTGACATTCTCAAACGCCCATGCTTGCTCTGATTGAGGCTGAGAGCACCAACAGTGCATGGATTCCTTTCTGCTGTTGCCTATGTAAATTGCCATCTGGGGTTGATTATCTATATAGCAAAAAGAAGAATTAAATATATGTGTTTGGCAAAAAGCTTTGACACGGCAAACAGTTCACTATCCAATTGAGTTAGTACTGTTTGCTCACTAGCACTTGAAATCCACCTTGAAGAGCATGAACCTAGTACTTCGGCAGCAAAAACGTAGTGTTGGCAGAATTCTGAATGTCCTTTAAGATTATTTCAGTGGTCTTTCAATCTCTACAGTCTTCCAGTTTATAAACTGTAACAACTCATGACATTTTTATTTCTGCTTTATGAAAGTTCCTGGAGTTTGAATAGTAAGGATTTTTTCAATATAGATTAACTTTATTTTACTGATAAGTTTGGTGATAATCACTTCAAAATATTGATCTAAGTATATTTTGTTTAGTGACTTGTCAAATTCTGACTGACTGTCAAATTCTAGTGCTGCTGTCTTTTTGTAGTATACTTTAATTCAAAAAGGAAAATGTTTTTTTTTTTTAGCGGGGGAGAATTATCTTTGTCTTCCTTATCTAGGTGAAAAAAAATCACAGTAGCTTAAGAACAGCAGCAACTTAGAAGGCTGATGCAAAATAGGCGAGAACCAGGACTTTTGTTCTTATCATTCATAGTCTCAAAACAAAAAACAAATCCCTGGGTTAAAAGTAATGCAAAATGTTGTATGGTATATGGTCTTCCTCCTGCCCAGTGTTAGTGACTCTGGCTTTGGATTGCACAGTTGCAAGCACTTTAGAAATACTGGAAGACTGAGAAAAACAAATGATTATATGTTAATATTCCTTTAAAGATGTCTTGCAGCACAGAAAATGTTCCAGGTTGGTTAATAAGAACCACTCTCTCTGTCTTAAGAGTTGTGAAAGATCATAGAAGAGGTCAAGTCTGAATGGAGTGGGGAGGCAGAGATGGATGTACACAGTTAATGGATATAAATCTGGTCATCCTGAAAGTGTTGACTCAGCATTGCCTTACCTGTGATCAAGTGCTGCAGGTATATAGCAGCCACAAAGCATGTACATGGCTGCCGAGTGCAAAGACCACTGTTGGTTTTTTCAGGACTTGTAAGAAGTAGAGACTTTTCTTCTTGCTTTATATTCAAGTTCCTATCTGTTCTGTTTAATGTAATGATTGACAAACATTAGAGCAAGTTGAGGCAAGCTGAATGGCTGGTGGATGTTAATAGCTTCATTGGAGCATATATAAAAGTACAGTATGCTGCCATTTTGTGCTGCATTTTGTCAGAAGTTCATGAGTGCCTTGAAGGCCGAGTAGCTGTGTTATTGGTAAATGGTTACGTTGATGATTATCTGCAGGGGATCACGTGGGGATTTTTGCTGTGTGCTGAAGCTGAATAATGTATCTGGTGTAGTATAGTACAAAGTTATTTCTTACGTAATAAATCATGTGGACACCCAGTCATTGGACTGACCTTAGCAGGTGCCTCTTTAGACATTGTCAGATTTTTGATCTGCTAGGTGTGGTTGAGCTGTTATCATCCAAAGGGATGAGGAGTGTTCATACTGGGTCCAACCTTCACCATCCCTGAGGTTTGCAGTAGACAATTGCCGTTATTAATTTTGAGCATTTGAATCTCAAAAGTTGCAAGCGTGTTTATGAAATGCTTCTCTGTAGTTGGAGAGTAGTCATCCAGGTGTTTTGGTACTCTGATATGCTTTCAAGAGGTCACCTGAGATATCAAATATGAAAAATGTGAGAAACTTGCTTCTGTTTATCTAGTCAAGTCTCCTAGTAAATGAGAGTGTCAGTTTAAACCAGTAGTGGATTCTGTCTTGGCAAAGGCCTATTTGCTGTCAAATTATATTGACTTTGTGAACTTCTAAGCAGCATCATTTTGTAAGTCTGATACTGAGAAGCTTCATGGCTTCATACACTTACACCATATGGAAAGAGATTTTATTTTTTTGTTAAGCTCCTTTGTTGGCTAGATAACCTTGGTCTGTTTTTTGGCAAACATTGTGTAGTTTTTTATGGCTTATACAACAAAAAAATTCTCCAGTGTCTGACAGAATAACCCAAATAGTATTTGCAAGACTATTTCCGTCAAACCGCCGTAGCTATTCAGATCGTAACAGATGTATTTGCTTTTGCCCACGAGTGCCTCAGCCTATCTCATGTTGCAAGACCTCTGATTAGTGAGCTTTAGTATGTAAGCATGGTAAGGACTAATTTCAGTGTATTTAAGGGCTTTTTGCACAGTCATAGAGTTGCACAGTTAAGTCTTGTCAGAGAACTTTTAAATCTCAGAA